TTGACAGCAGAGAACATTTGGATACTGGGAGTAGTTTTCTCGGCGACGGCGTCACATCCAAACCTTGTCTTTGGCTTTCGGATAATCGTAGTTGAACACAGCAGTCGAATCAGCCGCACATGTGTACAGGTCCTGCTTTATTTTGAAAAGACAAAAAGCGGACATAGCCATGATATCTTGAAATTTTGGACAAGACTCAGGGATCATGAACAATAGAGGCGTGGCTTTCCATCTGCTGTCGACGTTTATATATCTTGAGCATCATGTCGGAGATGCGTGTTGGGGGCCCGTATCAATGGGTACGAAACATCGACGGGATTTCTGATGTCTTCGGCGGTACGATCTTTTGATAATACATGTCCAGAGACTGTTCATACTTTAAACAAAGGAAGCGTATCGGACGTGGACGCATCAGTCTTTTGGCGGGCTGTTTTTGGAAACTCAGAAAACAGACATACTCACGTTCTATGGTTGTTTTCGAAACGGGTAAGGAAAACCGAAGAATATAGGAGGAACGTAGATGAGCAGTAGGTTGACCTTTATATAGATGGGCTGGCCAAGCCGAAACGTGACATGCATAATCGAGTGCCTACTTTCAGAAACATATGACGATGATCCCATGGTGATCGCAGAAGATCCAAAGAAAGGTACACATCGATTTATGTGATTAATGAGATCCTGTAATGGAAGAGCGCCATACTGGTCGCTCCTCTCGGGTATTGTAGATAGTAGAATATACATGAACTGAACGAACTCACATCGCACCATCGTACACGCAATTCTTCATTCCGACCTTCGTGTCTCAGATGCGTACACACTGATTCGTACCTCTTTAGTACCTTCCGCTTTCCCTTCGTCCGACACCAAGGCTTCCATACGGGTTGCTCCTGCCCAAGCTCGCCGACTGACCCAGTGTCTTCTCACCGCTCTCCCTCGCAGCGCCCAAATTGCCGAGACTGATCCTCTTCAGAGGGCTGACGTCCCGCTTGCTCGGACTAGCCCTGCGCTCGAAAGCGCCACCGAGGCTATCTCTACCGCGGCTCGCACTCCTCTCGCCATCTCTTGAGAAGTTTGCACTTGCAGACTTCCGTAGAGGCGACGCGGCATGAGTATTGACACCCAGGTATCCGCCGTCGGTAGGCTTGGTGTTGGTTCGGGGGATGGTGGGTGCTTGACGGAAGGGGTTGGGCGTTTGCGAGGGTCGTATCGGAGAGGAGAAGTCGGCGTCTGTAGCTGTGGAGGTGGTTGTGTATTGTGAGGTGCCACGATCTTGGTGGACTGAGGATCGTCGTCTCGAGGAGCGCGTGACAGATGGTGATTCCATGTTGTCAGGGTCGTACTGTGAGGCGTAGCTTACGTTCGGATTCGTGCGGAAGGTTTTACGGTTTACAATAGTGGTTGGTGTGTATGTGACGACTGAGCTCGCAAGACCGTGGCTACTGCCCTTGACACCAACGCTCGAGTCTCGGGTCCGGTTTGTCGAGATGGTCTGGATTCCGACGTCGCGGCATGGCTTCTGTAGTGAGGGGTGGACGAATTTGCTATCGTACTCGTGAAGCACCTGGCGACTGATGAGGGAGTTGTCCTTGGCCTGCTGCATAAAGGAGCTCCTAAGCCACCAAAGATGAAGCGAGAGCGCGGCTCCGATGAAGATCGTCGTGGTCACCCTGACGCTCGGTCTGGGATCTAGGGGGGCGACTGGGAGGTTGAAGTAGTAGAGCACCACATGCAGCGGGCTGAACAGGCAGAACAGCTCCAGGCAGAGCGGGTTTGGGTCCCAAACGGCAACTTCCCAGACGTCCCTGCCCTCGACAGGATGCGCTCTGCTTGCCGCGTTGTTCTGTACCAAGCTTCTCACAAACTGCATCGGACTCGCTGCGGCAGGCGATGAGTCGACTCGAACGCGCTTCGCGCTGGGCGTCTGTGGCGCAACATCCACACTCTGCTCGAAGAGACGGTAATACCTTCTCTTACCCCAGACCATGAAAGCGTTGCCAAAGCTGGCTAAACCCAGGACCAAGACCAGCAAGCCCATGATCCATTTTATCCATCCGGGACCCTGCACCTCGTTGAAGACGCCATCGTCGTCCGAAGCCGTGGATGCGCCGCTGTTGGCCTGGGCGAGTACGAAGAGGAGGTTTGCGCCGAAGCCGATGTAGAGCGCATACGCGGATGCGAAGTCCTCCCAGTCGGAGCTGTTGAGTTCTTCCGAGATCCAGATGAGCCAGTCGGAGAGGTCGAAGTAGGCTTTGATGCGTTCCGAGAGCGGTGCGCGGCGCACGAGAGGAGGCATGGCGCCGTGGTATTACGATTATAAGTGCTAAGGGCGAGTCCCGAGTTGTAGAAGAGAGGAGAGAAGAAGTGGCGTAGCAGTAGGGCTCAAGTCATGGTGGTGCGGCGACAATGAAGAAAGCGCGAAGGGTGAAAGAAGCGACAGTACAAACAGTTGGCCTAACGCGGACTAGGCCCTGGTCCCGCCCATGACGACGGCGCGCGGGAGCTCCAGCTTCAGTGCAGCCAAGCTCCGACCTCACGACAGCTGCCTCTCTACACTCTCGATATGGCAGCACCCGCGGCACAGTACAAGGACAGGCAGTTCCTCGCCGTGATAGGCGATGAGGTGTGCATCTCGCGGCTCCCTCATTTGGCGGTTCAACGGCGCTAACCGGTCGCAGGACACTTGCACGGGCATGCTGCTTGCAGGCGTAGGCGTAAGCTATCCTCGACTGCGATACACGACGTAGACAGGAGACTGACGGATATTGTAGCATGTTACTCAACCGCCGGACAGCCAAAAGAACTTCCTCGTTGTAGACGCAAAGACCGAGACCGCGACCATCGAAGCTGCATTCGACCGCTTCACCACCGAGCGCAAGGATATCGCGATTCTGCTCATCAACCAGCACGTACGTCTTATGCGCCCCGGATGTGGCGTTGGGGTCTAGAAGGATGCCCGAGTCTCTACGGACTTGTAGACTGAGACATGTCTGACCACCCATAGATCGCCGAGAAGATACGACACCGAGTCGAGACATATACCGCCGCCTTTCCCTCCCTCCTCGAGATCCCATCGAAAGACCACCCGTACGACCCCGAGAAGGACAGTGTGCTGAAGAGGGTGAGGAGATTATTCGGAGAGTAGATTTTGGACTTAGGAGACTGGCGGAAGATGAGAGCACCAGAATATGTCGCATACACTACTCGTGGATGGGTACTGGGCATGTGCCGCCGGCAGTTATCTGCGCATACAAGCTTCAACGTCAATGAATATGATATCCACCACTACAGATACAAGTTGCAGTATGAAGAGTGTTATGAAGTCGATGCGTGTCCTTCGTATGTACATTAATTCGTCGTTATATCCTCGATTCACTGGCCACACATCGACCTTAAGCTGGCACTGTCATCGCGAGGTACCGGCAATGGACCAGCTCATCGGCAAACAGACGAATTGGTACACTGCCGGTACCTCGTGATACCAATGCGAGTTTAAGTTCAATGTGTGGATCTTACTAGAACCCTTGGTCGGGAAGCATTGAAGCCAAAGCTTACAGTCGAGACATGCTGATATCGCGAGTCAAAACAAAGAGAAATCCGCCAAAGATGGCTTACAGCTCATTCCTCCGCCTTAAACGCTCCTGTACAAGACCAGCCAAAGGTCCACTCATCTGCACTCTAGGCTGTCCCATCTTGATCTTGCTGCCACTGCCTACATTACTTTCCTCCGCATTTCCCCTGCATGGTTGAATATCAGACATCCTCGTTGCTCATCGTGCGTTGTAGAGTCGTTACGAAGTGAGGCAATTTACCGGTGGAAAGCGATCTTGGCGGTGAGGCAAGTAATCTTGTCGCCCTCTGCGGTGAAGACATCGGCGAGGACGGTGTATGTGCCCTGATATGCTGTTAGTATTCTTCTATGTTTGTCGCAGCATGAAACGTACCGGAGGAATCTCCCTGGGCAGATCAACGTCCTTGGTCAAGCTCATCTCGCCCTTCTCGAGCGGGCATTCAAGGTCTCCCTTCTTTATCGTTTCGCAACCATCCGCGTTCTGGTTGATGAGTGTGATGAGGCCGTACTTGACTTGCAGGTGCATCTTGAAACCCTCACCGACCTCCTCCTTGAAGTCGCCTGTGGCCTTGATGCTGAGCTTCTCGCCACTGCATATGAGTTAGCTTTCAACTTTGTACTCTCGAGATTGTTGAAGCTTTCACGTGTGCGATTGCGCAGCTTCACGATACTTCAACAGGGAACACGTACGGCTTGGGTGGGTTGGGGCTCAGGTCAACCTTCTCAATCTTCAGAAGGTCGTCGGCTGGGTCGCCGCAGAAGTACAGAGGGTTGTCGCCTGGGACCTTGTACTCCTCCTTAATCGTGACCTGGTCGCCACCCATCCATGAGGGCGATGCGGTGACGGAGACGGCGCTCAGCGCGGCGAGGAAGAGGGTGGTGAGCTGCATGGCGGCGGTGAAGACAGCTGCGGTACAAGAGACGAGCTGTGGTGGTGTTGTTGTCGCGCGATAAACACGATGGGAACAACTTCGATGTGGATTCGAAATTGGGGAAGGATGGTTGGGGTTGCTGTGGAGAATGGAGAGCTCTGGTAGTGGTCGAGGCTGGCGTCTAGATAGCGGCCGCGGTTGGATCTTGCTGAGGCTGGGGCTGGGGCCCTGCAGCCAACGTCATCGCTGTTGGTCACGCAGCACGCGTGGGTCTTCCGCTAGCACCATCTGGGCTTGACATGTACACATGTACTGCACGTTGTGCCGTCGTGCATTTACCTAGGTAGTTTTTGTGGAGATGTAGTAAGGGAACGCAATAGCAACGAACTTCTGAGCAACTCTCGATTGGTCGATGAGCGACTGAGGATCGTGTTGAGCGAGTTCAGAGAATCCGAAACGCGACATCAGTATACCCACTTGCTAGTCGCTCATGATGGAGGTACGTCTGGTGATGGTACGTATCTGAGATCGATTCGGATTCATGATAGCATTCCGACATTCTAGGCAGCGCCTGCGTGCTTAGAGTATCTTCGCGCAGCATCCAAAAACAGACGGTCCAGCTCAGCCGCAGCAGTTTCATTGCTGACCTTCAGTTTCAGAGTTCGCCGTCCATGCGAGACTCCGTCATTTATCCATTCGTTCATACCATCTTCAGGGTTGATCTTGTTGTAGCCACGGTCCTCTGCAACATCGAACATGTTCCCAAGACCATTCGCAGCATACAGAACAGTCTAAACGCGGTCAGATTTTGCCTTATGAGCGATCCACAAATGGACACTTACGAGTGGATCCCAACTAGGTAGCGGCTTCCCGAAACCATAGTAGATGTAAGCCATTCGGACTGGGTCGTCCTCCAGATCACTCGCCATGAGCGGTCCGCCTATTAATACCTCTCTGCCGACAGTGGTGCCTACAAACGTTATTGGGCCATTCCATGTATCTAACACATGAGCGGCAAGGGCAGGTTTGGAGCCCCAGAAGTTCCAGCTACGACCTTTCGGATACTTGCCACCCATGACGACGAGCTCTGCTACCTTAGTCCTGGCAAGCTCGCGACCGTCAAGCTGAGAGTACTCATCGGGCCTGGAGTCGAGAAGTCCAGACAGCTGCAAATATTAGCGACCAGCTGTCAATACAAGAGCCACATTTTGAAAACGCACATTATCGAGGAAGCCGATGGAAGCAATCGTCACGCTTCCGTCTTCTGATTCAGAGAGCAGCTTTCTGTACAGGACAACTGGATCCCATGCCTGGTCCGCCTTTCCCCATGGTAGAGTGCCTCCGGACCAGTGGTAGGCCACTTTGCTCGTGTACTCGCCGCGCTTGTAGTCCCAGGCGTCAAAGAATTTCACGTCGTTCATTGGGCGACGAATACCAATGGGTGTCTTCGGGTGTCCATAATGTGCCACGATAGCAGACGCTGCGAGGGCAGAGTATGAACAGGGGTGGTTGACGTTGACACCAAGAAGGTTGACGTTTGGGAGAGTTGCGCCTAGCAGCAATGCGCCCGCGTCACTAGTACACTAGTAAGCTTTTTGTGATATGAGAACGAGGCTATGCGTACTCAACATCGCTGTGCAAGTCGGTGTCGATAATGAGGTTCTTGCGCGTTGTCATTGCCTGGAAGTTGACGAGAAGTGAGATAATAGTATGCGAAGGTAGGTTTAGAGGCCCGTGGTGTACTGTGAATACCTAGCGTGTCTCTCGTAGGGGAATGGGGAGCTGGGAACGTTTGACCAAGCATGAGGGGTAGCTCGCAGCCTCAGGCCCACCGGTTCTACCAATCATGACTTAGTCCACAAGAGGCAGTCAGATTAACATGGGCGCCTACGTATGTGGATATCCCCTGGTTTTGAACAAACAAGTGGGTCAAATATGGTTCAGACAAGCCAACTGCTTTATAGATGTCGCATCAAGTACGTGGCTTCTCTCGCCCATAGTGATGCTAGGACGGTACCGGAAGGAATCAGTCCTATACGAGACCTATAACTGAAGCTTACATAGTCTACATTGGCGGAGGATTCAGATCAAGGCCCTCAACGCTGAGCTTGAAGCTATCCATCCGCGAATAACTTCCCCCAGAGTCGAAGTCAAGTCTGCCGCGCTCGCAGTCGTTAAAATCGACGTCTGTGACTAGCAGCTCATCTTCTTGCTCCCATACTGGTCCAGCAAGCACCTCGCCCAAGGGTGATACTATCATAGAGCCTCCACGTGAAACATATTCCTCGCCGTCTCCTGACTGGGGCTGTGAGAAGGGTTGCTGCTTAGGACTAAGCGCATCTTCTGCAGTGGATGAGGAATCAATCGCCGATGAATCGCCCTCAGTCGCCTGTCCCTCTGGTATTGGTATGCAAATCTCATGACCCTCCGGCGTTTTCGTAATGGTGCTTCGTCGTCTGCCAGCGACTCCGTTACTCTGTTGCGAGAGGCTCCTGCCGATGCCGCTTCTGCTCCCATTGCTCTGCGATTGTGCTTTGCCGGTGATCCATTCCGGGAGGTGTTTCTTCTTAACGCACTGGTTTGCGCTAACCACGAAGCATCGGCCTTCGCAGCCTACCGTGCGCATCAGCGACGACCAAGCATCGCGCGCATCAGCTGTCGGCGCGAACCACAGGTTGACGTTCTGGCTGTACAAGCTTTGCCTCAGCAACGGCATGTAGTTCTCCCAGCAGATCGCCGACCCCATACACAGCTTGACACCCTTGATCTCCGTCGTCACCGCCCTTAGTGTGCTCGCGCTTCCCATGCCCCAAATCAGCCTTTCGCTGCCCGTCGGCATGACTTTCCTCCTCTTTCCTAACACGCCCATCTTTGGGTCGACGAACACCACCCCACAGTATAGTGTGCCACCCGACTTCTCCACAATGCCCGTAACAACAAAGACCCCCGTCTCTCTTGCTATCCTCTCTAGTTCCTCTCGTGTCCCATCACCCCTGTATTCCTTCCCTCTCGGTAACTCGAGCTTCCTGTCTAGCCAATCTTGCCCAGCGCCGCTCGGTGTGTCGCCCATATCGACAGCATCGTGGAAATAGTGCAGGAACTGCTCGCGACCTTCGGGTGCGCGACCGCCAACCGCAGCGCCAAAAGCGCAAGTACGAGGATATCCACCCAGGTATGCTTCGGGAAATAGGAGGACATCGATGCCTTGGGACGCGGCGCGCTTCGTTGTCGCTTCGAGAGCGGCGAGGGTCTCGGCGGTCGTTGAGAGTGTGCGGGATTGCGCTGATGCGATTTTGAGTGTTTGAGGCATTGTTGATGGAATTGAGGGAAAGAAACGAGCGCTTATGAAAAATGGAATGCACAAGACATGAGAGAATGAAGAGAAGAGATGGCTTTTGAGCTTCCGAAGCTGGCCGCGATGACAGCTAACCTTGGAAGCTTCCCGAGCTACCCCGCTCGTAACCCCACCTCGAACGAGCAAAAGAAAGCATCTCCAACATCAAAGTAGCTATCGACGCGTGACGCGTCGCGGTGTTGGGGGAGACGCGGATAGGGCCGAGAAACGATGATGATCTCAGTGGATGCTTGTGGAGCTGCTAGACGGACGAAGCTTCCACAACTCCACACCACGACGTCACACTCCGATGAACACTAGCAGGCGCAGAATTTCTTCAATTTCATGTAGACCTTCTGTAGCGTAACAGTCACTTCCACATCTCTCAATCAAACTCGACAACCCATACCTTCCAGAATGTCGCAGCCCGTGGACGTACCAACCCATCTAAACTCCCTCATCACCTCTTCGCACCCTCAACTGCGCGATGCAGTCCTCCCAAATCTCCTCAACTCAATCCACACAATAGCCGGCCACCTACGCACCTCCCCATCGGTAACCCAAGTCGGAACCGCCAATGCCTTCGGCGACGACCAACTGAACGTGGACGTGCTAGCCGAAGAAGCGATCCGCAAAACCATCGATTCATGCCCAGCCATCGTAACAGCCTCCAGCGAAGAAGACCCTGTTGAGAAATCATCAAAATCCAGCAGCGGCGAAGAGCAAGGCAAAGAAGTCTACACACTCGCCTTCGACCCGCTGGATGGCTCCTCAATCATCGCACCAAACTGGAGTGTAGGCACGATAATCGGAATCTGGGAAGGAGCCTCAGCCTTACATCAATCGCCCGACACGAAGCAAATCGCCTCGATTCTGGGTGTGCTAGGCCCGCGTACTACCGCCATCGTCGCCCTCCGTCTACCTGGTACCAAGGGTTCATGTTTCGAAGTTGGATACGCAGACGACGGCACCATGCAAGTCATTCGTCCAGACGTACAATTGACGCAGGCCTCTGAAGTAAAGACGCGGTATTTCGCTCCGGCGAACATGCGCGCCGCTGCAGAAGACCAGAGGTATCTGAACTTCATCAACCGTTTCATTATGCAAAAGTATACGTTGCGATACAGCGGCGGCCTCGTTCCGGATGTTGTACACGCGCTGGTCAAGGGTCATGGTGTTTATATTTCCCCGGTCACGGAGCAGAGCAAAGCCAAGCTCAGGCGGCTATATGAACTAGCGCCTATTGCGCTGATCCTGGAGTGTGCTGGAGGTGCGGCGTTGGATTCTGCGACGGGTAAGAGGGTACTTGAGACAACGATCGAGGATACGGACGAGAGGGGTGGGTTGATCTGTGGAAACAAGGAGGAGGTTGACGCTGCTGCGAAGTCTTTACTTCAGTAGGCGGAATGATTGGGAGATTAATCTATCACGATTAATGCGTCAAGAGATGCGTCTAGATGAGTGAATAAAGAGGGTCTAATATTAGGAGGCTCTAATGTAATTCGATCCGTACTCTTCGTGCTTCTACCAGTAATCCAAGATGTCGCCTGTAAGAACAATGAAAAAAGTGGGTATATGTCATGAGTAACTCATGACGGAAGTGTGCAACGAGGCATAGCCATCATGCCCTGAATGTGGGCGCTTCTCAAATTAGAAGCGGCTGTAATGTCGTAGCGTGCTCAAGGAATGTCTTGAGCCGTTGGAATAAGAACAAAGGGAAAGGTATATGGGTCTAGAGAAACCAAAAACGTCGACGAAACGATGATGCGAGTTACAGAGGAAGACGAACGGCAAAAGTCCACTTAGTAGGCGCGGCCGGCTTCGACGTCGCGGTCGCGAGTCCGACCACGAGTTGCTGATGTGCCTCTGCTGCTCGGTCGGAGCGCTGCGCAAACTGTCTTGCAGCCATCCCGCCAACCAGGCTGCGATGACACGGGTAGCGCAGTGAGCTCCTTATTACTGTGAAGACTGCTCTGCTCGTAATAATCGCGCTCTTCAACCTTGACATCCAACTTGTTGGTTATATGGATGCCTTCCAACGGAACATCGCCGCGAATCGATCCAGCAGTGCACTGTGATCGCTGTGTCGAGTGCTGTGATGCTTTCCCGGTGAAGCCTTGCGATAGCGTATTTGACGACGGCCCGGACGCTTGACCGGGGATTCCGGTTTGAGAATAGCCGGCGCGCGAGGTGTACATGCTGAAGTAGCGACCGAGGAAGACTTTGAGCGAGGGCGCTGACGCGCACATTACGGCGAGCTGGGCTTCGAGCGTCGTCCAGATCCATCCAGAATACGCTGCCCAGGTGATGTCGTAGGTGACTAGACCAGAGAATTAGTTTTGCTAGATGACGATTCAAGAAAGAGTGATCCATACAGTAGTATAGCTTTGCGGCATAGAACGTTCGCATCATACCGCAGATGCATGTTATCAGGCCCACGCCAAAAATGGCACACAGGCCGATCTTTTGGCGTTTGCTGATCTGGAGGTTCCAAATCAAAAGTACTGGTAGCAGGCAGATGATGAAATCCTGGAACAGTGAAATCACCGCGCATGCAACAATAAGGGCCCCCTCGTTGCGACACGTCAGTTCATTCTGCAGTCTCCAGGATATGTCGAAGAGGCGGAAGAATCCTATAACCGGTGTACATGTGAAGACAATGGCAATAGTGAAGGCAATTCCGTAGATGATGCAGAAGGCGATGGTGCCGTAGACCCCTGTGGAGCAACGTTAGCTTCTGCGTGGACCAGGCTGGCTTTGGCGAGATACTTACAGTAGATAAACTGATTCGTCAGACGATCACCGATTCGGCGGTAGAAGCAAAGGATCGAGACTTTGATCAGCGTCGAGGTTAACATGTAGTTAAGTTCGATTGCAAAAGCGATCTCTCTTGTCGTTACTAGCGTTTCTTTGGTCTGGTCCCAGACGTGCCATTGGAAGCCATAGATACGAATACCTGCGTTTGTTAGCAAAGACCACTTCGAAAGGAAGCGATACATACCAAGTACGCTTGATATGGTCAGACCGAATAGCGGCAGCATTGCCATGCTGACAAGTATGTCATCCAGCCCAAAGTTCTTCGATATGACCAGCCTTGCCCACATCCGCGCACAGTATACCAGGAAGGTGATGCCCAAGACGACCATGAGCAGTATTGGGGGTCCCCAACCTCGTTCCTCCGGGTCGACATAATTCGGTTTTGGCCAGCTAAGAAGGACTTCTGGTGGAGGATGTAAACCGCCTGCACGAGCGACGAGGCTGCCGCCATAGGATCCCAGAGTGTTTCCGTCCATGTTAGGAAATACCGGCGTAGTAGCAGCAGGCCTAGCTGTCGGGGTGAATGTGACACGAACTGACCATCGCAAACAGAAACGACGCCCGGGATATGAGCCAGATCTATACACACAAGAGTCGGAGGTCCAGGACCAATGACTCCGCTAGTAGTTAGCGGGGTCCATATCTTCCCGCACCTCAAACACTGTGGAGTGATCTACGCCACAGTACGGGTCCCCTAGTCTTGCATGGCGTATATGGACTATTTCGCCGACTGCATCCATTATTAGGCTCTTTCCGTGAGAGCTTCCAAGGAAGTTGCGGTGAACGTCGGGGGTACAAGGCGGAGTCATGTGCCGTCAGCTTCGCGACATAAACAAGTCGCTGTAGTTTTTGCGCATAGCCCTGGTAAGCGTGGCGTTGTGTAGAAACCCGGGGGCGCGTAACAGTGAACGTAGCTGAAGGCTATACTGACCCTGCAAACGCTTTGCATCGTGGAACGCTGATCTTTGATCACCATGAGGCAGGGAGGCTTGACCGCACACGTGGCATGTGTAACAGGACGTTTGTTGGCGTTGCTTCTGCAGGTGTTTGAAGATCGCGCGACCCGCTGTAGCGGTAAATGATCCACGCGAGCGTATGAAGCTTGAGTTTGCCCAGGTGCGAAGAGACACTTGGGGTAGGATTGCCGATACCACTTACTAGTAGTCGAGCTAGAATCATCAATTCTACCCGTGTGCCTGCAGATCTGCGACGTCCCTACAGGAAAACGGCTGGTGGTGGGTTGTGATCAATGACCCTGGGTCATGAATTTTCGTCGAAAACGAGAAGAATTCAAATGTGTTGAGACGTCGATGTCCAAGAATCCATGTACAATCGTGCGCATACCTGCCTTACATCATCATGGTGATGCATGTCAAGGAAAGCTACTTCTGAACCCAACCTCGAGGCAAGATCCATGGCGATCATAGAGCGGTGCGCAATCATGGAAAGCTTCAACGACAAGACGCCATAGCGTGCGACTGCATTAGGTGAGCTTGTCACAACTACCGAGGATTTGCAACCGCAGTTCCAGATTAGCATTGAGGTGTCGAACATGTGCAGTCGCCCTACGAACGATTCCCGTCGCGAGTAAGAGGCGGACCTAGGCTAAGGCTAACGGACGTCTCAATAACGACTTGAGTACCGCTAAACGCGTAAAAGGCCCTACCAAGACCAACGGATGCTTGTCGTTTTACAAATTCTAACCCGGTGTCTGGCATCACGTTGCAGAGGTGTTAGGCATCAGGATCGCACTAATCGTTCGTCTACTTCTAAGGTATCTCTACTACTGTTATAAACTAATTATCTTTTATTATAGAAAACTATTCTCTATAGTTCTAGCTTATAATTCTAGCAAGATCTTCTTTATAGCGTTATTATACAGCTTCTAGCTAAAAGCGCTTAGTACCTTTAGTTAGAAGTTAATTAAGAGAATTATTATATTATTACTAACAGTAATAATTATAAAGTTATAGAGGTAAGTAAGGGCTTTATATTCTTACTTTGCAAAGATATAGACCTCTACTAGAGTAGTTACTATAAAATATATAAAGAAAGACTAAGCTTTAGCTTACTTATAGATTAGAGCTTCTATCTTCTATTAGTATTTCTTTTAATTAGGCGAGCTAGCGTTATAATAGACAGTAACGTACCTAGATATCTTATTTTATAACTAGACTAGGTCTTAGAATAGAGTAGCTAATATATATTCTTTATACGCAAAGCTAGTTAGATTGTTAGTAAGTATATAGATTAGCTATATATTTTTTATAATAAAGATAATGTTTAAAGTATTGTAAAGGAATTTAAGCGCTACTAGCGCAAAAATTTATACTTTAGAAATAGGCAACTATAGCATTACAGGATTTGCACTTATAGTACAGCTACCTTTGCTACTACACTAGACATCTATTAAATTACAAGTTAAATAACCTAAATTAGACACCTAGTACAAATTCTAACCGGGAATTTTGGCATTCTGCGAATAGGGTTGCGCTCGCTGCGGGACTTACCATGTCAAAACTCAATTTCGCGATCGACAGCCACGCGACTGAGGCGTTCGTGACGAGACGTTGTACGCGCAAAGTCGGCGATAGAAGTTTGTAAAGTGTCAATAACCGCTGCAAGGCTCGGGAATATGGATAAACGTGCGTGCTGATGATGAATGAACATGGTAGGTGCTGGATATTGAGTCTGAGGAATCTATCGAAGAATGCCCAGGTGCTGACATCATCGGCAGCGCACAGACCCCAGCAAGAAAGCTACACTCTCCAGTCAAACACGTCCTCCCCGCATGCCTTTGACCCCTGTTTGGTTCACATCTCAGGCAGAGTTTTTAATGTTCCAGGCAAACTTCGGCTTCCGCTATCGGGATGCCTCTGTCGAATTCCTCTATCGAGATCGAGCTTTGAGCGACGGTTTTCGTTATCAGCCGGCAACGTCTACTCCGAGATGACCTCTTGTCCGAGCTCAGGGACTATTCGAAATACAATTGAAGATCTCTTAACGCTACATCTCTAGGTATTAGAAGATCTGCCGTGCTCAATCACCACGTGGAAAGCCTAGCAAATGCTTCCATCGCCTTTAGTACAGCCTCGGCTGCTTCTGACTGCGGAACGAGATCGACACATGCACCAGCGGATTGTCCCGAATGCGCCACCTCCACAGCATCGTCTGTCATCCCCTTACCGCCTTCCATATCCTCGTTATTGTAATCGCCTGGATCTTCGCGCGCAACTTTTGCCAAAACTGGTTCGCTTCCAGTCGGATCACGATAATCCCACGTCCCAGGCTTCTTTCGATGTATTGCATGCAGCTTGGCAGGCTGTCTACGGCCACCACCCGCACCAGGACGCTTCCGTGGCTTCGTAATCATTCCGTCTGCAGGCTCATCCTCCACGCTTCCGAACCCGTCCTGTCGCATGAATTGATCGAAGAACTGCATGCGAGGTTCATCAATCTTGAGCACTGCCTTACATGCGCGATAACCCTTCTTCAGCATTGCGGCGACGTACTTGTTGGCGAAGTGTTGTATCCTGTCCTCTTCGGCTAGCCCCGTGCTGTCCATTGCGGCGTCATCACTGGAGCCAAGAGTGAGACTGTCGAGAGCTACTTCCGCACGCACTACATCGATCAGGCAAGCCGGGCAGACGAACGGCTGGCCTAGCATCGGTCGCGCACAGGTCACACCACAGCTTGCGGTATACTCTGTTTGGATCCTGTGGCCACACTGTAGGTCATGGAACGTCGATGATGGGTTGCATGGACTGTACATGTCGTGGAAGTGCTGATCACTCTCTTGCGTCTGCAGCTCACGCTGTTGCCTTTCGGTTTCAGCTACCTTATTGTGGAAGGCATCGATGATAGCGCGAGCTTGTGCAGGAGCAGCGTGCATGTTTACCCGAGAATCACCCCGGGCAGCTGAATTGATGCAGTCGGTAGCCAGGCGTATAGTTTTGATGTCGCATTCGAGCTGGTAATGAGATTGTCTACGTCAAGAGCTGGCTGGTGCTGTGCTTGGGTAGCGGAGGTTGTCGAACCGGAGGGAGAGTCATGCGTTGATAGGGGAACTCCGCGCGTGACAAGATGCGCAATGCCGAGGACGGCTGACTAATACAGGAGCGGAGCCTTGTGTCAATAGTACCGACTCACGGTAAGACACCTGTACAGAAATTTGATGAGAAGTCTTATTTGTGTATCTTCATTCGACTCACAGTAATGTCGAATGGTGGGTAGTGCAGCTCGACCCCTTCCTCATTCTCAATCAGGACAACCTTGCTCACAGGCCATCCATTGCTGTCATGATACCCGTCGAAGTCGAACCAATCGCACGATACCAATCCAGGGAAGATCATCCTCCAAACCTGCGCTCCAGGTCCAAATTCATCTGTCTCGCCTACACCCTCCGCCGGCTCCAAGACAACCCCTTCCGGTGTAGAGAAGTAGCGTGGCTGGGCATCCGCGGTCCAAGACAGGCGATCTATTGCTTCGAGCGCGGATGAACCGTTCACCATGAGCGAGCGAATATACAAAATCTGGTCTTGGATCTCCAAGTTGGCGTACGTTGAGGAGTTCGAGAGCGTGGTGGCGACTTCATCAGCAATGAGTCCAGTGTCTTCACCAGCGCTGTAGAACCCTGCAAATCGTTCCTTTGTTCTTGTACTCAATGCTTCTGCGAAAGCAGGCGCAAGAATAGCATGTACTGTATCTCTGACAGTACTCGTCGAGATACCTGCGTAGTCGGCCAGGCCAGATCCTTGCACGAGCACGATTATGCCGTACCCGAGATTTGGTATGGCGTCGATCCAGCTATGCCAGCCTCCTCCATCACCGGACTTGCCAAAGATGCTATATGTCTTCATACTGTCTTCCGCCAGACTAGCATTTTCACTCGTCGGTAAGTTCAAGATCTCAATCTCCCAGCCTGGGCCGCTCTGCTGCTTGCCATCTGCAAGTATGACACTTGGCTTCATGACCTGACGACGCTGGAAGGGCGTGATGAGCGTAGGGTTGGGCGTGAGCCATAAGCCATGCATATAACGGGCGAGATCGTTTGCAGAGCCCCACATGCCGGCCGCTGGGTCGTAACCCTCTCCGACAATCAAATTGACCCAACTGTCACCGCCTGGTACGGTTATGTCGGAGCTAAGATCCTGCGGAACAGTACCAAAGAAGCTATGAGTCATGTTTAACCGTTGAAGAAGTTCCTGGGTTGTGAGCTCAGACCAGGTCAGAGACGAGGAGGTGATGTTGTTGTAGTATGTGGCTACAGCAGCTAGCGGTCGATTAGTCCATGTTCTCGTTAGTCGCATGCTATATTCACTCACCACCTAGAATACCCAAGCCTGCATTCGAATCTGTCCGTGTCAGTACGCGTCTCGTTAGTAAGAGGAAGTCGCTTACAAGCTGCCCTCTGCCCTGGCGCAAACATCAAATTCTTCATCGCTATCCCATCAATTACGTCTTGGGCAGTTTCACCCGCCCATGCGGCTCCAATAGTCGGCGAATCTGCTTTTCCGGTGCTGAGAATCATGTTGAAGCCAGTACTGTAGCTTTCTCTTGGTATACCCGCTGTGTGACTGGCAAGCATACGCAATGTGATCTCGCTGCCGCCGTCGCTCCAGTCTCTCTCAGGCAGACCGAAAGAAGGAAGCAGTTGGCGGACGGGCGTGTCGATAGTCAGGAGGGATGACGATGATGAGGAGTTTTGTCTGAGCTGGTTTTCGATGACCAGAGCAGAGGCCATTGCGACGTTTTTCGAACAAGACATCAGGCGGAAGATCGAGTCGCTCGTCACCACATTGGCCTTGGCCGGTCCTGCATCAGTCTCATTGAACTTCAATGTTCCGTTGTTGAACACATATGCTGGTTTTAGGCTTGACGCATGAACCTTGTGATTGTTAGTAATGAGCCTTTTCAAGGGATCGGACCTGCACGTACAACAGCGAAGCTGAGCCCATCGCGCGTGGTGTTGATGTATAAAGCCGAGAGATTGCGCTGGACTTGTTCAAATGCTGCAATAACTGCCGGGTGTTGTAGTGTCAGCGGATCAGACAGTATCTTGTCGGCGAAGTCGGGCACGCATGCACATGCTGCGAAGGAAACCAGGCATGGTGCCAATGCGAAGGTGACCCTCATAGTGAGGCTGTTGTTCACGAAACTAAACCACGGAGGCGAATGTAGCATATGCGCGAGGATATCGGGCTTTAGGGATATTTGTACATTGCGATACAGAAGTATGTTGTGCACAGGTAGATACCGCTGTAACGGTCCAAGAGTTGCGTATGCGCCGAGGCGGCATCAGGGATGCGACAAGCCAATGATGTGTTTGTGCTCCTGCAACCAGACACACCTGCCTATCGGGGCCGATGTGTATGCATATGGCTGCAGATAATCCACAATGCTTCTGATCATGCTTTTCCATCTGGGCGACTCCTCAACTAGGTACCGTCGTCAACAAAGATAGAGCAATTGTCAAGAGCGTGTGAACCCGAATAGTCGAAGCTTGTCGCGATGCTTACTACCGAAATGAGGGCGAGAAGGACCGAGAGGGAGCATCCATGGATGTTCGAAGAACGAAGTTTAGGTCAAGAGTGGGGTGACCCCATGTTGGTACTTGCGCCCCACATCAACGCCTATCTCTGAATCTAATAGCCTTGCGTTTACACCTTTCATCTCTTCGAACGTTTTTTCCCCTCGATACCAAAGACGCTCAGCTAATAGTATAACACCTGCTGCGCTTTTCATTTTCTCTATTTGCGGGAAGAGCACGAAGTGTTTCAAGAATGTAGTGGCGCCGCAACCGGGTGTAGCATATACCAGATGAGGTCGCAAGCTGGAAGTACCCTTCAAATGCATGCAAGACGACATGTAAGACGAATGGAGCATAATAAAACGTATATTGTATGTAAGAGCAAACCCGAGAAGGTAAAAATAACGTATTTGGCTTTGCCGCAGCTGGTAAAACAAGACCAACCATTATATCATTATCGTAAAAAGAACGTATCTCTTGTCAATGCATCGCGCTCTAAGCGCCTCTGTCGCTCGCTCTCCTCTAAACGCTCGAGCCTCAATCTATCGATGTCGAGACCTTGCAGATCACTTGATGGCCTATCGCCAGAGCCTCTCGCGGCGGTAGGTCGATGGTGCTGCTGCCACGGATTTTGAGACATCAATACCGGCATTGACGGTCTTGAGGCGAGAAGCCGTTCGGGCAACACAGCTTGGTCTTGCTGTCGTCTCTTCACGCGAGCACCCTCTTCCAGCGAGTCAAGTCTCAGTTGCAGAGACTCTAACTTCTGCCGTGTAGCTTCCGGTTCTAGAGCTTGCGGAGACGGTACAGGGTCGGGAAGTTTCCTATGAGTGCGACGCCTGAATCGTCCAGGTATTCCATTGGCTGTGCGGATTTGATGGTGTGGTGGGACAGGATGGACTTTATCTGTGGACTCCTCGCCCCGAAAGTATGCTTGTGAAATCTGGCTGTCTAGAGTTTGGGCGCGAATTGGAAGTGCACAAGGAGCTGCGCCGGAGCGTCTAGCCCATTGCGCTGCTCTTGTATCTCCTGTCCTGCTAGCATTAGGCTGGGGTGGAGGAAGTAGAATTCTCTGATTCTTATCGAGGTTTACGGTGCAAGCCGAAGCGCCGACAGACAGCTCGCCAATGCGTGGTGGTATTGTTAGGTCGTCATAGCATACTCGCTTGGTGCTCTTGCTCTTCAGATCGGCTTCCGAAGTAGCCTTCACTTCAGGCTTTGAAGAGCTCCGAATAGAGGATGTGAGGTTTTGACGCAGCCGATCCAACGTCTGTACCAGGATTGCGCAATTCTGGCACGGAGGTGTACTGTCGAATTGCGGAGTCGATTGTGATGAGAACGCCGGACTAGAAGCGTTGCTCATGTAAACATGCTGGAAGTTCGGATCCATCTCGCCACAGACAGGATTCGGTTGCTTCGCGTTGACCGAGGGGACGGGCGCGATCGGTACTGGGCTACGCTTATGCTGCCACTGCTGGATCTTTTCTTCCGTGGTCATTGAGCGTGAGAAGTTCGAGAAGAGCGAGGGGCCTGCAAAAGGCGCGAAGTCTGAGTTGCGTTGCTGAACGAAGTCAACAGGAAGGGTTGCCGCTCTGGCGAGTGGCTTCTGTAAGTGTTGTGATGGTGTATGTGTAGAAATGCCGGGCGCGCGTCGCAGAGTTGGCTCAACGGGACCGCTCGGTCTTCGTAGTGGAGTGAAGTCGGAACTCGGCATGTCCACAGCACTTTTCTTTCCGTGCCGGATGACTTCAAGCATTGCGTCGCCTTTTGGAGCTGTAGTCAAGTTCTCGTAACCAGATGAGGTGATGAGGATGTCGTCTTCTATGCGAACACCGCCAACGGGCATGTAGCGCTTCAGTACCTCGGTATTGATGTACTTGGAGTGAACGGGTGATGGGAGATAGAAATGCTGTAGAGCGTATGCGGAAAAGTAGATGCCAGGCTCGACAGTGACAACCATGCCTTCTTCAAGATGGCTGCTCTGGGGATCGCTGGGCGCAAGGCAAGTCTCAGAGTCATATACTGGGACATGGAAATCCTGTGGGTAAAGAGATGGTGCCTGTCAGATTGTTAGCGGCTGATCAATGTTGGGATTGATTGAACTTACCTGCTGGTATACTGGCTTCCCTCTTCTTACA